TTTCGGGGTGTTTGGGGTTGAATGCTTGGAGTATGTGTGTATATATTGTTTGTTATTTGTTTTGTTATTCTATCTAATGGCTTTGCTGAAAAAAATGGAACCAATGGCAGACAGGATGGAAGCGCTCCGCTAGCGGAAATACCCTGAGAGCAGTCGCATCCTACGCATTCCGAACACAGATCGAGCTAGGCTCAAGAGACGAGCGAACCTGCAACTCCACAACAAATGTAGACTAGCTCGGTCATATGAACTGTGTAAAATTAAGCGGTCAAATTTTGAGTAGTTGAACAAAGCTGGTAACATGGCCATACAGCTGCACTTGGCCTTTCGATCTTCATGGCGTTGGACTGCAGACATTTGATGAACATGACGAAGCATTTAGAAACTCACTAACCCTAAGGCTCCAGTCGCACCTTCTGAGAAGGTGTTTGGGGTGGGTTTGAAGGGTCCAAATACCTTCTGAGCAGGTGCTTGGATCCCTAGGGTACACAAACTTGGGCCAACAAGCTCGCGTCCACAAAACCGATCGGCCGTTTAGCCGGAACATGAGTCCATCCGTGGTTCCAACGTGTTCCAACAACCTTTTAACACCATTTGGCAGACTCCAACGGACCCCCGCAACGGACGTCTTCAAGCCATGTCCAGTCCTGTTCGCTTCCATCCCCCCGCTGTGTCACCAGTCACCCATCTCCCCGCTGTGTTCGCAATCGGAATCGGCAGGAGGATGAGCTGCCGGGCGGCCGGTCTTTCACACCGGCCAATGCCAGGCATGTTTCTGAAGGTACATGTGTTCCGATTGCCCGTTTTGCTTGTCGTTTTATACCACAAAAAGATGACACTGGCCGGGGAACTGACGGCAAAAGATGCAGCAGAATGCGCCGAACTGCAGGTTCGCGCGGGAATTGCATTTTACCTCCAGCTTCAGAGGCAACTTCAAGCCTGCCTAGAAGGACACTGTTCGTAGCCGGTGACGGTCAGAATGCATTTTCACAATCGGAATACTGAATACTCTTTCCCCATAAGACAATGAATTACACCTCCGACCATCATTGAACTCAAGAAATCTACAAATCAGTGTTTTGATGGTTTTTGTCTTTTTGCTCGGAGAGTTTTGGAAGTGACGCGTGGGGACAGTCCGAGGTTGTGGCAGTGGAGCTACGATCAAAGACCCTACATGGATGGTTTAGTGGGGTTTGGGCCGTAATTAGCTCATGTGTTTCTTGTTATTTGTTGGGTTGACAAGTGAGGATGTGACTGCAGTATCTCATGATACACTGGTGAACAGTCTTGGCACTGAGGGTCATTTGGAGTTGGCAACTGGAGGCAACTAGGGTCACCTAGCCAAGCATGATGAAAGTGAAAAAGGAGTTACACTTCAAGCATGTCGGAAGGGCCTCATGCTCGACATCGGAAGATTCTCAGCGTTACGGACACATTTTAACCAACAAAAAGGGTTGGATCCAACATCACAACCAAGCAACAAGCAGATGTTTATTTTGTTTTGAGTGTGTACAGTTCCATGCAGTGCCCAAATTAAGCATCATCCAGACCACAGATCCAGGACCACATTTTACTCAGCCGCACGCAGTCGGCCGTGACCAGGACGGACACGAGGCCGGCGGCGCCTCTCCGGTGAGTCTCACCATAGACGAAAAGCGCCTGCGCTGCGCCAAAGCAGAAAAGGAGATGGGAGGTGCCGTTCGACTTGTCACAGATATACAGTAGTGGCTTCAATGATGTTACAAAGACTGATGGAATGTCATTATATATGATAGACAAGCAGAGCTTGATAAAATTCTAGTGTTGCATGACAGCACAGTGGCATAGGAACAATCATAATTTTCTCTTCAATGAAGAAGGAACATCCAGGAGTCACAAACGGGTGGTGTTTAGTCCCATCAAGTGAGTGGAGTAGCTGGGCACCCCTAACCTCCATGGATAGCACCCCTTTGTGACTCCTGGATATCATTTTTGCTTCTACCCTCAAAGGATCCTCAGAAGTGAAGGTTTGGTTCGGGTCCAAGGGCCCCCTGCTATGCCATGCAGGGTCAGGTCACCCTCCAGTTTGGTGGTCGGGTCCAATGATTCTTGGGGTAAACATGATTGTGTTTTTTTGCTCGGATTCTACTGTGCGTGCCCCCCTGACCAAAAAGACACCTTTTTCATGCGACCAAATGAGCACGAAACACTCGAGACTTGAAGAACAGTCCTGTGCTTGGATCCTTTGGCATGTTATTACGAAAGCCAGCCTTCGTAGAAGGCGCCAGCTGAGTTGTGCTTGGCGAACGAAGTGAGTAGTTAGGGGGTCTGGGGGGGTGGCCCGCAAAAGGTACACGTAAACTCGGCACATGCTGGGGGAGGAGGGTGCATCGAGGGAAGGTTTTTTGAGGTTGTGTTGGAGGTGATTTTGAGGGGTGGTGATGCAAGAAATGCAATTTGCATCATCTGAATGGAAAGGTGTAGTTGGCACCTTGCCAGGTATAGATACCCAGGGTAGCTATAGTGCAGCTACCCGGTATAGTACTTCAAGTTCCCTTTCCGTCAACCGCTCGATAACCTCTACACACGCACAGCAATCCACAGCTTTGAAGCCTCATGCGCGCGAACCTGGGAACAGAATTGTAGCTACCCTGGGTCCGTATAGTGCTATGTTGCTATACCTCTTACACACGTATACAAGTTCAAAGCACGAATGAGACTTCAAAGCTGTGGTGTGGTTTGCTGTGCATGTGTGGCTCGAGAAAGATATACGTAAACTCTGGGAGGTGATGCTTTGATGCTTTTGGAGCGGGTGGTGACGCACTCGCCAACTAGAACATATACCCTTCAATAGGAACTCGAACAGCTCAAACCCAGAAGATTCTGAAAATGGCCTGGCTCCCTATATGAACCCTGGGAAGACTGGGAAGCGAAGAGGTGGAAACAGCTAGGAGGTCTTGAACTTTTAAGTAAACAAAAGGCCACATTCAAGCAGCAGAAGGACAATGTGCATCCTTTGCTCTCGCTTCGCAGACCTTCATTTTTAAGGTGGCCTGAACAGAGTGTTTTAGGGCAGCAAACCCTGGTCTCAGGCCACCTTGAATTTAGCTTGAAAAACACAGCTTTGAAGCCTCATGCGCGCGATACCTGCGAACAGAATTGTAGCTACCCTGGGTCCGTATAAATGCTATGTTGCTATACCTCTTACACACCTGTACAAGTTCAAAGCATGAACGAGACTTCAAATCTGCGGTTTGCTGTGCATGTGTGGCTCGAGAAAGATATACGTAAACTCTGGGAGGTGATGCTTTGATGCATTTGGAGCGGGTGGTGACGCACTCGCCAACTAGAACATATACCCTTCAATAGGAACTCGAACAGCTCAAATCCAGAAGATTCTGAAAATGGCCTGGCTCCCTATATGAACCCTGGGAA